TATAAGTCTTGAATGTACCTCCTTCACAACCTTCTTTAAAACATTTCTGTGTTGCCTTCAGAAGTAGTCATAATTATTAGATCAAACTGGTCCGAGTTGTCTTTGAAAGTGGTTCGATTTGTCTAAATGAATAGTCCGATTTGTATTGTCCCAACTTGTCTTTGAAAGTGGTTCGATTTGTCTAAATGAATAGTCCGAGTTGTTTTGGTCCGACTTGTCTTTGGTCGAGTTGTTATGTATTCGGGAAAGGTAATGTATAGATAACGCGTCTGCATTTACAGCGAGCGGTTTTACGTTCGAATCTCACACAGTAAAGTTGTTTTCAACATTTTTTTTTCTGGTATCATTTTAACATTATCAACGAAAAAGAATAGCAGAGGTATTTTTGGGATAATAGTCTTATTTACATTATTTATACCATTTATTATCGATGTTTCATTTTTTTTAAAACAAATTCAGTAAAGTGGTATCCATTCTAAGATGATTAATTGTTTGTTGGTTAACGTCCAGTGGCAAATATTTTATGCATATTTAGGTTGAACCATTTGAAAAATAGAATTAAAGAATTTTCAAAAGTACCTTTCGATATAAATTGGTTTTATTCAGTTTCAGACGCACACATGTGATCACAATTATGTGTGATATCAAGTAATTAAGAAGGCCTATTTACTTAATAAAAGGACAGACAAGAAAATATTTGTGGTCAGGATTTTCTTCTTTAAAGTAAAAAAGGTAAATTTTGTAAGTGGGTTTTGTTTTATTAATTTACTAATTTATTTATCACATTAAGGAAATAAGGCTTCTCATGGGGGTGTCCAAGTAATCACATAATCACATGTTTTTCCCAATATAATTCCATAATCCTTAAATATTTTTTTCAACAAAATAATCCAATAATCAAAAATACAGTCATAGCTAGGACATCAAATAATCATGCAATATTTGATCTGGTAATCAAATAATCACTATAAAAACAGCCATGTAATCACATAATTAAAAACCACATGCAGAGGCTCGTAAAAAGGAACCGTTTTCAATTTTGCCACGATTTACTACCAAGGGTATCTATGCACAACCTTAGGGATATGCATTTTAATGCGTGAAATATAGTATTTTGTTTGGCCTAAAGTTGTAAAATATAAATATCATATACTTTAAAAATAGTTTTCAATTGCATGAAACTAGGTGTTTATTTACTTTTGGTCAAATATATTATGTAATATTTTTAACTAAAATGAATTATAGTAAAGGACCGATATTCATTGACTTTGACGTTAGACAAATATGTTTTATAAATGTAAATATTTCTTATTTTAACTGTACTTCTATCATGCATATCGCTTCAATTGTTTGGACCTGACAAGTGTCCTAAGTCAGGAATCTGAAGTTCATTAGTTGTCGTTTGTTGATGCGGTTCATAAGTGTTTCCCGTTTCTCGTTTTTTATATAGATTAGACCTTTGGTTTTCCCGTTTGAATGGATTAACACTAGTAATTTGTGGGGCCTTTTATAGCTTCCTGTTCGATGTGAGTTAAGGCTCCGTGTTGAAGACCGTACTTTGACCTATAATTGTTTACTTTTATAAATTGTGACTTGGATGGAGCGTTGTATCATTGGCACACATACCACATCTTCTTTTATCTAAATATGATTTCTATTCTGACAATACATTTGTTGATCATTTGTGTGACGAGTATAATATTACCTAATTATTTTATATTCTACAGTTATTTTTAATCTTCTGCACCCGCTACCCATTGATCTTGTAAGTGTTTTGTTAATGTTTCTCATTATGTTTTTACCATTATTCTCTTCTCTGTAAACCCCATTCAGACCCTCATATTTGTTACTGATAATAAATATGATGTGCTTACTGTTTTAAAAAAATGCGAATGCATTCAACATTCAGAGACCATCACAGTGTTCAGAACACAATCTCACAACTGATCAAATGAACTCAGATACATGTATGACCCCTCCCCCAAAGAAAATACTGACGAGTTTTACCCTCCCTTCGAAATGCACATGCACATGTGCTGTGCTTTAAAGTTTGTTCAAATTCCCCCTTTTCATTTTTGATACAACATCTATACTACTAATTTCATTGAGCCGCAACTCCATTAAAACCATACAAAGTCGGAAATATTTGTAAATAGACTATTTTCATATTACCGACTTTTGACTCCGGATTATATAATTTGTCAACTGGTTACCTTGGACATCATGGTACCAAGTCAGGTAAGAGCAAGCTAAAGAAGTTAAATCAACCATATAATGTCCTAGGTAACCAGTCGACAAATTATATAATCCGGAGTCAAAAGTCGGTAATATGAAAATAGTCTATGACGTATTAATGTAGTGTTTTGGACTTCCTTAATTTGTCCTTTAAACATTTTTCCCCCCACAGAACAAGCTTATTTCCTTGAAAAAATTCCAAATTTGGAGTCCGTGTTTTATACGTTTTTCGCGCATCCTCAGTTGACGTACTGCCCACAAAATCTAAAATCCTCTTTTTTCACCACTTGTCCAATATTAATAGGAACGCGATTATATAATAATACAAACAAGTACAAGCAAAGCACACATCTGCTGTTATCTACTCTTTGGTCGGGTTGTTGTCTCTTTGACATATTCCCCATTTCAATTCTCAATTTTATGAATACAATTATGTAAACAAGTTATAGTTATTGACCAAGCAAGTCGGTATATATATTATTTAATCTGCACAGCTCGGGTGACCCTTATTAACCCGAACGACGTAGCGTGCAGATTAAATGACGTCATCAATTTACGTTAACATTTTGGAAATATGCGGACGATATTCCATAATCCACAGCTCCTATGAAAGTTTCTTGTAGGGTTAAGAAAGGGGGAAATACGATTTTATGTAGTTAAAGGTTGGTAAGTATTAAACTATTAACTTTTTTTTATACATTTAGGCTTAGTTCTTCCTAAATTACATGTATTACATTATTTGGAGAATTGCGATTTAATAGTATTTTTTTTTATCGTGTATGTTAAATTTATTATTAGTTATTGTTATATACATTGGTGACGATTACGAAATTGACCTTATGGGCTTTGTTCATTGTTGAGGCCCTGCGGTTACCTATATCTGTTAATTTCTGTGTCATTTGGTCTCTTATGGAGAGTTGTCTCATTGGAAACCATACCACATCTTCTTTTCTATACATATTGTGTAGACACCTATCTATTGTTGAAACTATACTATAAGTAAGTAAGTAAGTAGATTGTTTATTATAGTGACATGTGTTTATTTTACAAATCATCATGAATATATAAATTTGTATTATATGTTGCCCTCTAGTTTGTTTTTGTCGTTTGATTGCTGTCTTATTGACGTATAACCTACATCTCCTACAGTTGTAGTTCCGTTTGGTGTACTTTCTAAATCGGTGAAAGAAAAAATCTAAATTGTAAGGGTTATTGAGTATAGATTAATTGCCTTTCTTTCCCTTAATAATATGCTTATAGGAAGATGAACCGAGGAGATGTACCTAGATATAAAATATTAAGTAAACTGAAAAAAAATGTTTCTCTTTCAATCTTAAATTTCCTCATCCCCCCTCCAAATTCTGTTTTCTATTGTATTAATTTTTGAAGACATGTCGCATCTTAACAAAGTCTGCTTGATCTGCAGCCTCTGAATTCTGAATATATTTTTCTGTCCTCCGCTCTTTGGATTTAAGCTATAGACTTTTCCATCGCTGTAAAGGATGTTTGAATTTGTCCTTTTATTAAACTTTTAATTGGTCGCGGGAAAAACATATTGGTTTTACCTATATATAACTATACGTTATTTTCTAAAAAGTTTTTGTACGTTTCAACTTCTCTCTATTTTTGATACATCGAAGGAAGGAATACAGGGGAATAGGCCAATCTCGATAACGTAGAAGTTACTAACAGCATAAATCAACCATTGAATTTGTATGCGTATAAGATCGTTCATAAGTGATTGACAACCGGATGTTAATTTGCGTCACGGTATTCAATGTTCTGCAACAGCAAAAAGAAGATATTTATAATACTACAATGACTTGATATCTCACAAACCATGCATGTTTAACCCCGCAGCATGTTTGCGCCTGTCCCAAGTAAGGAACCTCTGGCCTTTGTTGGTCTTTTATGTTTTTTAATCTTGGTTCACTTGCATGTGTCTGAGTTTAGTAGACGTCCATTTTCACTGAACTAGTACACGTTTTTGTTTAAGGGGTCAGCTGAAGCACGCCTGCGAGTACGAGATTTTCTGGGTGTGTTAAGATCCATTAGTGGCCTTGTACTGTGTTCTGCTATTTGGTGAGGTTGTTGTCTCTAATACACATTGCCCATTTTCCATTCTCAATTTTATTTAATATATATTCAGGTTATCCGCTTTAACATTCCTTTTGCTGTTTGATTTAACCTGTGCAAGACAGATAGCATTATTGATTATTGATGTCCAAAACTGTTTCCTACCTGGTGGAAGTCTAGCGGTAACCGAAGGAGATCAGGTGATACCAGTTATAAACAATATCCGGTCAGAATATAAAGTAGACATTTCATTGGTGGTTTTATCACAAGACTGGCATTGCAGTGATCACATCTCATTTGCGTCTCAGCATAAGGGTGCCGGTCCCGACATTCAGCTTTTGTATGATAAATCAGGTAACAATCAACAAATCTTACTGTTAAAGTGGAGCGAATGATACCAAAGGGACACTCAAACTCATAAGCCAAAAATAAATTCACAACAACCATGGCCAAAACAGAAAAAGACCATCAGACAAACAATATTACACAAAACACATCATAGAAAACTTCAAACTGAGCAACAAGAACACCTTGAAAAACTTGAGGCGATCTCAGGTGCACCTGAAGGGTAAACAGATCCTACTCCATATGTCGTATCCACCGTATTGCTCATGTTTGAAAAAACCGGTAATACGTCTAATTTGGTAGGTCATATTCGCGAAAAAAGGGGGCATGACTGTAGTTACGACATGAGGAACATATCCGCTGTCGTCTGTGAGACGGATATTCCTTTCTGGTCAACCAACTCGTGATTGCGTCTGTTAAGTTTACGAAGGGATGATTTCAACTTCACCACTTGGAACTCTTAGTTTAATAGCCTCCTTGTGAGCAGCAACCCTCTACAAAGGAAAGCATGATAGAAAATACAAGCCCTGGAACATTGCATAAACTGGAAAATATATATTCCGCATGAAGGCGCTACTGGAATGTAGCTACATAAAAATGGAAAGTTCACAATTGAGAAGCTGAAATCATCTCTTTTGTCGTTAAGTTTAATTTTCAACCGATCCTCATTGTTAATATCTAGATGTTAGTCAAGATATGAAGCAGACTTATCTGTATCTGTGGTAAACCTTGCCTTCCTGGAGTTAAAATACTTCATTGGTGGCCTTCGGCTGTTGTCTGCTCTATTGTCGGGTTGTTGTCTCTTTGACACATTCCCCATTTCCATTCTCAATTTTATTCATTAAGATTATTATTAAGAAAAGATTCAAATAGAGTTTTGTTTAGTCTTTTTCTTTGGCTATATTGATATCTACATTTACCTACTGGTACTTTTGCAATCAAAGATAAAGAAAATTCGTCGATGTCACATATGATTGTTCTTTAAATTCAGATATTTTTGCGAAGTTTTCATTGCAAAAATTTCAATGATTTGTTTTAGTTTTAGAATTTGTATGCAGTGTTTTAGGATATCACAAAAAATAATCTTGCTTTTTTTGAGATTTATGACAATAGGAATAATGAACACGCAGACATTTTGAATTGAATTCTATAAAATTTTAACAAAATATATTTGAAATACTAGTATCTCAAAAAATAAGTCCATGAACATTTCAGTATAACACGTAAGATGTTTTTTTTTAGTCAAAGGGTCAATGTAAATATTTTGTCAATATTTTTGAAAATTATTCGAGCCAAATTAATTTTTGTAAGGTGTTTTTGTACCTCTTTAACACGAGATCACAATGTGAACTCCCAATCAACCTTGATCTGAAGTTATTGAGTTCACCATTACTTTCTGATTGTGTTAATTTTCTGGCTAGACTGTTGTTTGTATTTACATTTTTATTTGTTTTAGTGCTAATTCGTTGTTTTGTTTCCTCCAACTTGTGATTTCAGATTGCCATTTGATTTATTCATATTTATTTATAAATTTAATTAGGTTCGTTATGTGATAAAAACAACAGCTGCACTGAAGTGGCATACAATCTTACTCAACACCTTTGGCCAGATCATTGTGTTATAAACACTCCATCAGCTAACTTTTCACTCAGATTGACACATGAGCCATCTGACCTTTTTATTAGAAAAGGTTATAACTGCAAGGTAAGTACTTCATAAGCTGTCCCTACCAAATCTCTCAATCTCTGGTTAATGAGGGCGAAATTATCTAAAAAATCGGAATGTATCATATCTGGAAAGTAGTTAAAAATGTTCTAAAAATCTCAAACTCCAACATTACAATTACTGTGTGCTTCCTTTACATATGCTATTAACAGGTCGATTTCGACATCACTTTTCAAAATGGATAGGAGACAGACAACTAAATTATGTTCATGTCATGTTATATCACGTTTTTTTGGTAAGACATAAACATAACAATAACAGCATAAACACGAAAAAAATCTACACCTGTTTTTTTGTGTTTCTTTAGGTAGATTCTTATTCTGCATTTAACGAAAATGGTGGTTTCCATCATACGGAATTGCACAATAAACTCCAGGAAGCCGGAATAGACGCTTTAATCATAACAGGACTGGCACGTGATTACTGCGTTTACTATACAGCAATGGATGCTAAGAAACTGGGTATGTGTGATTTTCGTTTCTAATTATTGTACCGATTAAGGAATGGGGAGAATAAAATGAACTGGCCATAGCTTCTAAAATGTTAATCTAAATTTTGAAAGTTCGTGGAATATATAAATTTTAGTTCGTTAATAAAGATGTTTTGAATGTCCTCTTAAGTTCCATTTTTTGTTTCTTGTTCTTCATTGATGCTTTAAGTATTTGCCTTCCAAACTACTAAAAATAAGTTTTTTTTTTTATTTTTCTGATGGTCTAGATGACCTTACATTTGTAGTTACATGTGCATATTAACATACCTTATATGTGTAGTTATGTGTAGTTACATGTGCATATTAACATACCGTATACATATGTAGTTATATGTAGTTACATGTACATATTAACATACCTTTCATGTGTAGATATATTTAGTTACATGTAAATATTAACATACCTTACATGTGTAGATATATTTAGTTACATGTGCATATTAACATACCGTATATATGTGTAGTTATATGTAGTTACATAAACATATTAACATACCTTTTATGTGTAGATATATTTAGTTACATGTGCATATTAACATACCTTATATGTGTAGTTATGAGTAGTTACATGTGCATATTAACATACCGTATATATGTGTAGGTACATGTAGTTACATGTACATATTAACATACCTTTCATGTGTAGATATATTTAGTTCCATGTGCTTATTAACATACCTTATATATGTAGTTATATGTAGTTACATGTACATATTAACATACCTTTCATGTGTAAATATATTTAGTTACATGTGCATATTAACATACCTTATATGTGTAGCTATAAGTAGTTACATGTGCATATTAACATACCGTATATATGTGTAGTTATATGTAGTTACATGTAAATATTAACATACTTTACATGTGTAGATATATTTAGTTACATGTGCATATTAACATACCTTATATGTGTAGCTATAAGTAGTTACATGTGCATATTAACATACCGTATATATGTGTAGTTATATGTAGTTACATGTACATATTAACATACCTTTCATGTTTAGATATATTTAGTTACATGTGCATATTAACATACCTTATATGTGTAGTTATGAGTAGTAACATGTGCATATTAACATACCGTATATATGTGTAGTTATATGTAGTTACATGTAAATATTAACATACCTTACATGTGTAGATATATTTAGTTACATGTGCATATTAACATACCTTATATATGTAGTTATATTTAGTTCGTAACATGTTCAAACGGAAAAAACTAACCAAAGATTGAGGGAGAGTAGTCGCCTTCAAATACTTTAACCCTGCCACATGCTGCATGTGCCTGTCCCAAGTCCGGAGCTTGTAATTCAGTTGTCTTTGGTTGTTGCTGTATATCAGTTTTGTTTTTCGTTCATATTTTTGGACATTAATCAAGCCGTTAGTTTTTCGTTTAAAGTATTTTACATTTGTCATGTCGTGACCTTTGATAGCCTCACTATGCGGTATGGGATTTGCTCATTATTCAACACCGTACGGAGCCCTTTTGTTGTAAACATCTATGTCATTTAGTCTCTGATGGAGAGTTGTCTCATTGGTAATCATACCACATCTTCTTATTTTAATGATACTTATTCTAATGGCCATTTTTGTTCTGTCATCTACAGGATATGAGACATATGTTGTATTAGATGCGACAAGACCAGTTACCAAGGCAACAGGAGATTCTGCGGTAGCTGACATGAAAATCGAAGGTGACAAAAAATGCTAACACATATTTGATAAATGCTTTATGTGCTTAATATATGCATATCTTCTAGTGAATGCACGTTTTCTACAACACCATCTGATGCTCTTAATCGGAATATAAAATTGAGAATGGAAATGGGGAATGTGTCAAAGAGACAACAACCCGACCATAAGAACAGACAACAGCAGAAGGTCACCAACAGGTCTTCAATGCAGCGAGAAATTCCCGCACCCGGAGGCGTCCTTCAGCTGGCCCCTAAACAAATATATATACTAGTTCAGTGATAATGAACGCCATACTCCAAATTGTACACAAGAAACTAAAATTAAAAATAATACAAGACTAACAAAGGCTACAGGCTCCTGACTTGGGACAGGCGCAAAAATGCGGCGGGGTTAAACCTGTTTATGAGATCTCAACCCTCCCCCTATACCTCTAGCCAATGTAGAAAATTAAACGCATAACAATACGCACATTAAAATTCAGTTCAAGAGAAGTCCGAGTCTGATGTCAGAAGATGTAACCAAAGAAAATAAACAAAATGACAATAATACATAAATAACAACAGACTCTTAGCAGTTAACTGACATGCCAGCTCCAGACTTCAATTAAACTGATTGAAAGATTATGTCTTCATCATATGAATATCAGGCACAATCCTTCCCGTTAGGGGTTTAGTATCATACATCATAACATATATGAGAAGAACATAACCCGTGTCATGCCAACAACTGGTTTTTAAATAAATGTGTTTAGTGCCGATGCAAAGACCCTATAAGTGAATCAATATTAACGCCAAAATATGCAATCTTTAATGACCTGACAACAGTATCGTAACTATATCCCTTCTTATTAAGTCTATTTAAAGGTTTTGTTAGCTTCAGCAGTGAATACTGACATTTTTGTGCTTTATAAAGAATATTTCCATAAAAAATTGGATGTGAAATACCTGAACGTATAAGAAGTCTGCATGTTGAGCTATATTTACGAATGATGTCCTTATACCGATGATAAAATTTAGTAAATGTTTTGACTAGTTTGTGATATCGAAAACCCTGGTGTAATAATTTTTCAGTAATACATAAATTTCTCTCGTTAAAATCTAAAACATTGTTACATACACGAGCGAATCGTACAAGTTAAGATATATAAAAACCGTAAGATGGTCACAGTGCATTGTACTTTTTCTAGTCCCTTCCAATAAACAGATTGAATGCGTTGATCCAATTTGTACGGTTAAGCGATTGACAGCTTTTTTTTAAAAATTATTCAATGGGTATTTAATTGTTTTACTTTAGTAAATTGTCATAATCACTATGACAAATTTAAGCAGGGCTAACACATTATGAATTCGCAATCACACAATATTTCCTTTATGGTATATTCTTTTGTGATTAAAACATTATTAGCTCTAAAATAACACTCAATCGCGAAACGTACATACATTATACAAAGGGTCTGGATGGGGTCCTTCATTTCTGTAATCATATTTTTTTTGCCATTTTTCTGTGTTCATAATATTTTAATATTTGATCTTTATTCTTTATATATTGTAGCACCTCATTATTTTCTAATTCTTTTTTTTGGGTCCAGTATTCTCCATTCTGTATACCTTCACCCAGACCCTTTAATTTATATTAATACCTAACATCTTTTTCTTTCGGTCTTCAGTTGCTTTCTTACAACATTTTCTTATTCTGATATCGATGACACACTCTTTAAACATAGTCCGACATTATCCTTTAAAAACAACTAGCACTTTACGCAGGTGACCACACTACATTGCATATTAAGTACATGTCTCAAAAGGAGCAACCAGATGTTGTGCTTGCTTTGGTAATATTATCTGCCATCATTATCATTGTACTTGATCAAATTATTCAATTAAGTTGTTTTGATGTTAAAATAGACTCATAATGTAAGGATGGATGTTTTTGTTGTTAATCTCTTTTTGACTGACATGTATGCTTATATATTTTTCACTAGAGTAACATTGAGGTATTCATTTATTTATTTATGTTTCAGGTATTCAGGTAGTCGAATCACCCGATGTAGCTGGGATAATTGCACAGATTAAAAGTGATGCGAAACATTTACATTCACCGTTTATATTGATGATTTCTATAATTCTATGTTTCTTTAAGTGTGTCATATGCATATAGTAAATTGAATAATTTTTTTTGTAGTAAATTGTCAAAAATAAATCTTACTAAACTTATTTCAAATCAAAGTTTATCCGGGAATGTGCCGTTTTTTACTAACTGGTACGGTCAAATTATTGTTACACAATGTACGTCACATTAGGGCAATATTGTGTTATACAGCAGACATTGCCAAAGTTTTGTTATACTTCACTACCTGCCATAGTGTGTTATACGTCACACTAGGCAAACCATGTGTTTATCGTCACACAAGGCCAACATTTCGCTATAGATGCATATCACTTTCCTCCTACATAATTTATAACAGATATAAAAAAAGAAGATGTGGTATGATTGCCAATAAGACAACTCTCCACAAGAGACCGAATGACACAAAAAATAATAACTATAGGTCACCGTACGGTCTTCAACGATGAGCAAAGCCCATACCGCATAGTTGTATACCGCAAAGTTGTTGTATACAACAGGCCAAAGTTTCGTAATATGTCACTCCATGCCAAGGTTGTTATAAATCACCGCAGGCCAACGTAGTGTAATACGTCACAATTTGCCAAAATTGTATTATACGTCCCATCAGGCCAAGGTTTTGCTGATTGTCACTACATGTTGTCATACCAGGCTAAAGCTGTGTTGTTCTTTGTTTTGTGTCCGCTTATTAGTATGTTTTGTGCTAAATCTTAAATAGATTCAACATTTAAGTGAAAGAAGAGGCTGAAGCTTCAAATGTGCTTTAAAAAACGAATAAGTCGAGGAACAACTAACATTGCAATGGCAAAAAAAAAACCAAAAAAAAAACCACGAGACACGAATAAGTCCATAAAACACTTCTCGAAGAAATAAAAGACAGAGCAACACGAACTCCACCAAAAACGTGATTTGATTCCCGACATTATCAACCAAAGACTCGAAAATTAATGATGCTTATTCTCAAACACGCATTTGATATATAGTAAGAACAAAGACTGGGTGGCTCGAAAGAATGTGTCCGGATATGTTTTCCTTATTAAAAAGTAAAGTAACAAAAGTACCTTACTGCAAGGTAAATTCAAAACGGAAATCCCTTTTCAAATTTCAAAATTAAAGTTCAAAAACATAAAAGAAATGAAAATCAACTGTCATATTCTAGACTTGGTACTGACATTTCTTATATAGAAAATGGTGGATTAAACCTGGGTTTATAGCTAGATAAACCTTGCACTGGTATGAAGTCACATGCAATTCCATTATAATGACAACAATGTGTGAACAAAACTAACAGACATAATAGGTAAAAATTGCAATAATTTGGGTACAGCAGTCAACATTGTGTTATCATTACAATCACTATAAACAAAAGAAACTATTCCAAAAAAGAAAATCAAAATAGCATATAGACAAAGCACGTAAGCAAAAATTAAAGACAACAACAGAAAACATGACCATGACACAATACCACAATGGCGGGATATAAAAGTACCGAGCCACGCCAAAAGGATATTACTAAAAAATGGACTAAACAGCAAAAGTTATTTATATACAAAGACACACAAAAGAACAGAAAAACAGGTAATTAAAATACAATGTCTGTACATAGAATCTATACTTCAAGACCATCATGTATTATTTGTGAAGTTGATACGGAATATTCATTAACAAGGTCTTGATACATTCCGATTAAATTGTTTAAGATTTTTTTTTTTTAGAAAAAGAACAAGACGTTTTTTGACATAACCCTAGTTCGTCAATTTCTATCTGGCCTTGGTGGCGTATTTTAAAGTCTGAGTAGAAGCTACAACTTCTTGAATAACAGATATGTATAGTTCAAAATGACAGTTTCAGATTAAAATTGATCTACTAGGGATGCACATTTTTCGGCCATTACTCAAACCACGAAAGTTCCCACAAAAAAGTGTACATCACGATTTAAAATATTTGACGTTATAATCTAATATGAATGTTACATGACAGTAATAGGTTATTCGGAGACAGATCTAGGCTCAATAATTCCGGTCCGGTCCGGTGAGGAAAATGTATCGTATTCCCATTTTTGGCTTGTAGTGCTATTGATAGATTTTTATTGCAAATAGCTATAGTTAACCAAGTACAATATAGAAGTAGGTTTAGTTTTATTTTATTTTAAAAATGGACATGTTACAGATATACGAAAACACAGAACTACAAACTAGAAAAGGGACAGTTTCTTATCAAATGGCAAAATCAAAAGCTCAAATAAAGGCAACAGTAGTATACCGCTATTCGAAATTCATAAATCGATTGAGAAAAAAAACAAATCCGGGTTACAATCTTAAACTGAGGGAAACACATCAAATATAAGAGGAGAACAACGACACAACAGAAACTCAACACTAAAATGCAACACACACAGACACGAACTATAATATAACAATGGCCATTTTCCTGACTTGGTACGGGACATTTTAAGAAAAAATGGTGTGTTGAACCTATTTTTGTGGCTAGCCAAACCTCCCGCGTTTATGGCAATGTTAAATATAACATTATAATGACAAGATTACATGACAGGACTACAATACAAATAAATGGAAGAACATACAGGACAGAGACACACACAAATAATAGCTATCAAAAGGTACCTGGCTTATAATTTAATACGCCAGACGCGCGTTTCGTCTACATAAGATCCATCAGTGACGCTCAGATAAAAAAAGTTCGAAAGCCAAAACAAGTACAAAGTTGAAGAGCATTGAGGACCAAAAGTTCCAAAAAGTTGTGCCAAATACGGTTAAGGTTATATGTCTGGGATAAGAATAATTCAAACACATAAAATAATGAAAAACAACACTATATTCCTGACTTGGTTCATAGATATAAGAAGATGTGGTATGAGTGCCAATGAGACAACTCTCCAACCAAGTCAAAATTTATAAAAGTAAACCATTATAGGTCACAGTACGTTCTTCAACACGGAGCCTTGGCTCACACCGAACAGTAAGCTATAAAGGACCCCAAAAAATTACTAGTGTAAAACCATTCAAACGGGAAAACCAACGGTCTAATCTATATAAAAAACGAGAAACAAGAAACACTTATGAACCACATCAACAAACGACAACTACTGAACATCAGATTCCTGACTTAGGACAGGTGCAAACAAATGCAGCGGGTTTAAACGTTTTAATGGTACCAAACCTTCACCCTTTTTCTGAAACAATAGTGTAACATCACAACATAGAAGGACACACTATGAAATATCAACTGAAATAGCTTAACTCAATCAAAGGACATATTAACACCATTGAACATACACTGACCAAATAAATTTGACCTATGACACAATGTAAATACAAAATAAATAAACTAAGGGAAAAATAATAAAAGTAACATGTTATATCGGTAAGAAATGTAAAACAATTAAAGAAAAACAATATGCTCGAACAAAAATACCATCCATTTGCAATAACTTTAAACACAGGTAAATGAAAATAATTTTGTTGTTAGGTATACCATTACAGTACCAATAGAGAAAGGAAATATTTTAACAAAATAACAATTTTGAATACAAAATAAATAAACTAAGGGAAGAATAATAAAAGTAACATGTTATATCGGTGAGAAATGTTAAACAATTAAAGAAAAACAATATGCTCGAACAAAAATACCATCCATTTGCAATAACTTTATAAACACAGGTAAATGAAAATAATTTTGTTGTTAGGTATACGTGTACAGTACCAATAGAGAAAGGAAATATTATTACAAAATAAATAATTTTGATGTTCATAGTACGAAGTGAAAATTTATAGTTATACCAAACACTAATCAAAGCTGGTATATAGACTAGATATAACCCTGAATAACATTAAATAACAAAAAAGCAATACAATTAGTATCAACAGGTCAATTAAACAAAAAAGTACGATTTGAGAGTACTCGCAGTTACTGACAGCTAGTTAAAATCCAAAACAATCAATAATAAAAATCATGCATCAGAGACTAAAATCAACCAAAACACATCCCAGAGATTAAGTGTTTTAACGTCATGGACAGTCAAAGTAGACATGACTAGTGCAATGCCAAAAATAAATGTATCGACAGACAGTAGGATAGTTAGGAGTTTAACCTCTTTATAGATCTAAACGAACGTGGGTGTGTCTTTATACATCCCACTTGAAAAAAATACAAATTTAGTTATGTTTTAATTTGCTGATGACAAAATCGATATTAGTGCCAATGTAAACTATATTCAAAGATCTAATTACAACATTGGTAAGATAACCTTTACTAATAAGCCTGTTTAAAGGTTCGATGAGTTTACACGGATCACATATTGATTTCCGCGCTTTAAGTACAATATTACCGTAAAATTTAGGATGTGAAATACCGTTTTTAATCAGATTTCTACAAGTACAGCCAAATTTACTAATCAAATCTTTGTATCTATGAAAGAACTAAGCAAAAGTTTTACGTAATTTATGGTAACGAAATCCTTGATTTAATAATTTACCAGTGATGCATTGATTACGTTCATGCATTTTCTAATATAGAAAATGTTGTAATACACCAAGTGTTATAGAAAGTTAAACCTCCAGTGTTAATACTATGATCTCTAATCACCATAGAACTCTTTATACTAGGACATCTCAGATTGTCCTTACTTTAAGTTTCCGTTCACATCCCGGATGTAAGATGTGGCACCATGTGTTTTTAAAAGTTGTATTGCTCCAGTATCACTACATACATATGCATAAATCCGTTCTTTAAGAATTGTCAACAGCATTTATTTTTGCTGCGTTATCCAGAAGACAAACTATAAGTTTCTCCTTTTTATGTTGTTGTCCCTATCAACAATGCTATCGCAGACGGCCATTAGCGGTGTTTTTCCAGAAGAAAGCTTAGAGTTCACTTCAACACCCCCTTCAATTAAAAGAGAGGGACGAAAGATACCAGAGGGACAGTCAAACTCATAGATCGAAAACAAACTGACAACGTCAAGGCCAAAAATAAAAAGACCAACAGACAAATAATAGTACAGATGACACAAC